AAAGTATATCCTTTTTCATCTGTACGCTAACCCCACTCAAAGGTCGGCGGCCTCATCTCGCTTTCGCTCTCCAATGCTTCTCAAAACAGCATCATATCCCTTTCATTCACCGAATCACCACTTTTCATCTCTCCAACTACATCCGACGACTCGTCTTATCCTACCGCTAATCAATCATACGATGGCGTTTTGACCGTTGCTGCCCCATTCTCTGATGGTGTTTGGACACAGCCAGGAGCATGGCTGAGAGGCGGCTTCCGGTATTTGACGATCGTATCGAACAGTGGAACAGTCGGGATAAGCAATGTCTCCTGCGAAATATCATTTGCTCCGCATGTGGATGATATGAGAGCATATGCTGGTTACTTTTGGATGAAGGATCATAAGACTGGTTGGGGTTGGGATGACGAAGATTTTCTAACGAAGCGTATGTCAACTTGAATCTGCTCCCTCGTCTCTGATCCTCATCGCCCCGAAAGTGTGGTACGCAGGTGCTTATACGGTCCAGACAAACACGGTGCCGTTGCACACTGGGAGGCGCGTACCCTTCGTTAGCGCTGGATGTGAGCGATGCTGTCTTGTTATCTTCACGCAGAGCTAATTCCCGTTCGGCAGCCTGGGCAAACGATGCCACTCTCGGAGTTGCTGGGCCCATCATCGTCGATGGTATGTACTTTCATCTGCTGTCTTTTGCCGTCCACTGACATGCAAGCCTTCAGGGGCAAAACGAGATCGGTAGCACCCTTTTATGGCTTATGTTTCTTTATGCTCATGCTTACAATGAATCCAGTGCTGTTTGGCCAGGTACACCCTTAATTCTTCATCGCCCTTCCACTGTTCACTCATTTTACGATAGGTGACATGGGCATTGCAGTACCGACGGCTTTTGTATCCACAAATGACCTTATACCTGTGAAGAACGCCCTCTTGACCATGTTCGCCGCAATTGCCTCAGATGGTGCACTTCCTGAGTCAGGTCCGCCGTTAAGCCAGAAAGGTAGTGATACATATCATGGTTGGACGCTTATTGGCAGTTGTACGTTTCCAATATACCGTTACCAACTTTGTGAGCTGACACAAACCATGGATAGACAACTACTACCTTTACACTGGCGATCTTCCTTTTCTGCAAGATGTATGGACAAACTATACGCGTGCCGTAGCGTTCTTGGAACGTAAAGTCGTTCCTAGTAAAGGGTTAATGAACGTGACTGGGTTGAGAGATTGGGCTAGACTTGGTGGTGGGGGCATCAATGCTGAAGGAAATGCTATCTTGTACAAGGTGCGTATGCTGCGCGTTCATGGTCTGCAACAGGTTGCGCTGATAGGCTACATGGATAGGTCCTGACAACAGCATCATCACTCGCGTCTTATCTTGCGGAGGAAACAGACGATAGTGGCGCACTTGAATTGTCTGAAGCGTGGGCTGCCAATGCTACGAAATTGAAGGAAGCTTTTAATAGGGAGTTTTGGATGGAAGATGTTGGTTAGTTCTCATTGTCTTCCTATCACCGATCCTCAGTACTCATATGCCACAATCCGTAGGCATGTACCGTGATAACTCTAGCACAACTCTAGCACCACAAGATGCCAATTCCCTTGCGGTTTTATACAACCTTACCTCCGAAGAAAGTTGGAAAGAGCGGATAAGCGAGGGTCTCACGAAGAACTGGGGCCAACTTGGCCCCGAAGCACCCGAGCTACCTGATACAATAAGCCCGTTCATTGGCAGCTTTGAGGTATGTACCTTCACGAACCATTATCCCCAAGTGCTAACACCAAGCACTGTTAGCTTCAGGCCCACTTTGAAGCAAACCAAAACGCACGAGCGCTCGATTTGTTGCATAGAACATGGGGATACATGCTATACACCAATATCTCGGTACAGAGTACTCTTCTGGAAGGGTTTACGGTGAATGGTTCACTAAGGTACGTGTCTGGGCATGTCGGGATTTCGTCGGCTAAGGACGTATATTGGATGGAAACAGCTACCGCTCGTATCGTGGATACAATTACGACCCAGCTTATACCTCTCACGCGCATGGTTGGTCCTCCGGACCCACATCTGCTTTGACAAACTATGTCTTGGGACTGAGGGTGGACGAACCTATGGGCAGAAGATGGACTGTTCATCCGCATCCCTTCTCGGATGAAGATGAGGATGCTGCAGAAGGTGGCTTTGAAACACCGCTAGGATGGTTCAGTGTTTCTTGGATTTTGGATGAAGAGAGAACGATGGAAGCGAATATCAGTGCACCTGGAGGAACGACCGGGTCATTCGTTGCGCCTCCTGAGGTGCGTAGGGCGAGGGTGGTGGTTAACGACGGTGAGGTGACAGAGATCGATGGTGGAGCGAGTGTTGATATCAAAGTGGACCAATGACAAGAGGAAGTGTCTTTATCTACACAATACGCGCGTTATTCACGTTCTCCACGATGTTCGTCGCAGCGGTCCGTGAGATCCTTGAGCTTCGAAGATCTCGTGCGCGTGCTCGAAGCTCAAAAGTTCACGCGGGAAGAATAGCGTTCCGCATCCGGAAAGCAGTTTCCGTTTTTCGTTATACCGGGATCTTTCTCGGTACTTTCCCGCGTCTACAGCTGTCTACAGCTCTTCCCATACCCATGTCCCTGCCAAGTTCCGAGTAAAATGGATATAAGGCGTTGCGCCTGTGAGCTGTCAGCGCTTCAGCTGTCGACCTGCAGCTCCTGGTGTCATCGTCGCGGAAATCTAGATTGAGAGCCCTACATCGACACGGTTCATCTTCGTCGACGTCTGCCGCGTGCGTCCGACTCCGAGGGCATCACTCTTGATGCACTTCGTAAACTAAGCGATTACCCATCCTGACTTCCGAGGATCCACGAAGCCTATTCCTGGGCAAGTGACCAGATATGTTATATTTGTTTACAGTATTCCGGGAATCCGTGAACGGTCGGTACTCTGCGCTTGAACATATAGAGAGCTGTTAGCTGTTAGCTGTAGAGACGATGAATGCTTTTATCCCCTTGGCCTTTTTATCGTTCCCTTCGAGACAGCAGATGATGCGTAAGTAGATCATCAAGAGATAGAGAGGCATCTCATCAGAAAAGATTCCGTGCGGACTCCGCATTGCCATCGGCGTCATGATCGATGACACGGTTGCTAACAATAACGCTGCTGGTCCTCGTATCAATGTACCTCCAGCTTTTATTTCTGTTTTTATTATTGTGGTCTGGCGGCTTCAAAAATAGAGTCTGCCTTGTGTTGTGGGTAAGGCCAAGGACGAGGAAAATACAAGAGCATCAAGGCAGTGAAGAAGCCGAGGTCTTGGAATTGAGGTCACTGTAAACCCGAAATAGCCGAACTCCGCAAATGGTGCTTATTCAGGTTGTATCAACCATCATCACAAATCCCACTTTGACTCCCCCGCAGTCGCGCTCTCTTTAACTGGCAGTTATTTTCCCAGTACCGTCATTCCGTTTCCCGTAGGTTCATTTATACTCGTGCTGAATAAAAAGTGAACCCGGATTGGACCTTCACAGGTTTCCTTCCTTCACGACTGCAACGACCCATAGGACGATAGCATTAGGACTCGGACGACAAGAGGAATAATTTGAACTTGGAATCGGGCATTGGATACTGGGATGGCTTCAGAATCAGGGATTTCCTCTCCTTCTGCTACGTCGGCGACATTGTCGGGAGCACCATCAAGCTCGAACTCTTTTTCAGTCTCACCAACGTTCACCGATCCTTTTCCTTCTTCATCTTCAACACCAGGAGGAGGCTTTGGTGGTGGGGGCGGAGGTGGAGGCGGAGGCGGAGGAAACGGTGGCGACTTTAACGATAGGCAAGCGTTAGCCAGCAGCGCTTCGTTATACCGTACGTCATTGGGCAGCTCTTCACATTCGACCAGAGTCTCACACGAGATACCCAGTATACACGTTCCTTGCAACCCTAGTTCTACTCTTGGGCGTCAGCGCAGCCATTGTTATTCGTTCACTCCTCCTAAGACGTCGGCATAGACGTATGATTGAGGAGGCTATACGCAATGGAACGTGGGTTCCGCCAACCAACAGCGGTCGAACCAAGGTGGATCTCAGTATGAAACCCAAAATGTATGAAGCATATCTAGGGGTTCCGGGACAAGCACATCAGTCTTCAGATGTGGCAGAACATCCATTGGCTGCAGGGTACAGTGGCGGTGAAAAATACAAGGAAGAACATTTGGAATGGGATAGCATGACGGTTCGTTGAGCCTCTTATCTATATCATTCCCGACGTCACCTCATGCAACCCTCCGCTTACTTAGCCAATGTCTCTACAACTTCTCACCACACCAATGTGGATTGACCCAGCCAATCCCGATGGTGGGATCCCTAATTCACCCACACCGGCCGCTTCTAATCCAAACTTGGCCGCGGGTAGTAATCCTGAACGGCGGAGTATTGCTGCACGGATACGTAGTGGCCTATCCGCTGCGTGGGGCATAGTTGTCCCTAGGGATTCACCTGTTGATCCAGACAGCCCCACGCATAACCGAAACAACTCTACTGCGACGGTGAACTTGCAAGGTTTAGCCCCTTGGAATAATCCGTCCTCGCCTTTACATCCTTCGTTTTCTCAGTCGCCGCCGTCACATGCACCTCCAGTACCACAGGAATTACCGCCTCCAAATACGCTTACAACTTCATCTGCGACAATGAGAGTGTCAGTGTTGATAGTGATGCCTAATTCGCATCCATTACCTGTCACAAAGCATGGTGATGAAGAGGAGTTACCGGTGCTTGAAGTAGGTGTAGCCGATGTTGATGTTGGAGCCGAATACGAGCGCGAGGCTTCCATTGGAGAGAGTAGTAAAGGGAAGAGGGTATCGGAGGATGTTTAGAGCTCACACGACGGACTGTAGTAGTTATTTTTTGTTGTACAATAATAATTGGCCCTCAACGCATACAGATCCAGCATTATTATTATTTTTGTACAGGAGGTTCAACCAAGCAAAAAGTGACAGGTTACCCCTGCCAATCGGGCCCAACTGGGAATTGAACCCAGGACCTCTCGCATTAGATAACCCAAAGCGAGAATCATACTACTAGACCATTAGGCCGATAAGGGAAGAAGTGCGGTATAGTCCATGACCTCGTTCCTGTATACAGACCTCTAACATCTCAGTTGGCTTGTTCCATTCACCGCTTCACTAATGCCTTTACTTGCTTTCTCGAGCCCGATCTCCCGAACCACGCAGCTCGAATCATATCATTCTACTCAAGCTGGTATCTATTGGTCATGACACGCGCAGCAAGGTGGTAAGTATAATTATCCTCAAATCTATCCTCGGCTTCGGCGTTGATTCACTGTCCATAGGCGATGAGAGATGTTTGGAATGCTGCAGCTCATCTGCAAGCGCCGGAATGATAGGAAGAGGCATAGTGGGACTCGTAGCGCCTAACTCTGGCTGTGTCGGTGTGTTATGATACATCTCTTTTCTACAACCTTTACTCATTGTGCTCTAAGTGTCTTTTCCTATACTTCTTGTCCATACACTCAGGGTAAAGACTTAAGATATTAGAGAAGAAAAGGCCAATATGTCGCGTCGTCAGCCCGGCCAGACCGACTAGAGCTCGAGGCAGCGACGAGTGTTACCTGAGGAACGAAAATCATTCATCCAAATATCAATTCCACTACTGTTGTCCCCAAGGGCAGTACAACATGCTACACGATACACCTATGCCCATCGCCAATGCATACCAAGCCTCACGTTTTGTGCATTTATGGTCATCACGCTTCGCATCACAAGAATGTTGTTTCTGCATGCTGAAGCATGATTGCATCACCATACATAAATGTAGATGTGGGCTTCACTGCTTACGTCTGAGGAATGGTGGCTGGGAGCATGGGTGGTATAAATACGTAGAGGTGAGTTATCGATTCTATGACCAACCACAACCACGTTCTTTAACACTCTTTCCTTCGTCCTCTTGTCTGTGTAGCCCTACAACTCGTAACACCCACGCTCGTTCAAATCGCATCTCTTTTCTGTACTCTCTACTTTCACGTTTTGGCTTCCGACACCACCGCTGTCATCTCTTCTGCCGCTCCAGCTCAATTGAGCAGCCTCATGGACAAGTGTAAGAGCTTCAGCTCCCTGGAGCGCTTACCAGCAAGCCCAATTGCCTCTTCGGGTATTGCTCCGCGGCCGCCGGAGACATTCCTACCTGCTTATCCGTGTACTGGGATGAGCATCTGTTGGGGCTCCTAATTCTCAGGCGCCAAGTTTGCTGCGAAACAATGTGAGTTGATCAGATCTGTTCCATAGGATGTACGCTGACTGCCTTCGATATTACTAGACCCTCGGGCGCTTTGAGTGCTACTCTAGTCCGAATCAAGTCGCTCATATAGCTACACCTACGGCGATCTTCGCTCCTCATCGCCTTTGTGGATAGTAATCGACACCTCCGCTACAATTGTGTTAGCGACTTCGATTTCCTCGGGACGAGGTTCATCCCTGAGCCCTGAGCCTCCATTGGCGGATAAAACCTGATAATCCCTGATAAAACCCTTTTTGTTTCACGAATTGTATTATGTATTTAATGCTCTCGCTATTTATTGAACCCTGTAGCTTATTATACCAGTGTATCCATAGTACTATTTATTCCATTAGATCGTAGAATTTGTATCCTTAGTTAACTGTATCCCTTCATATTCTGTACTAGTAGCATCCAATACCACTTCTCGTTCCTCTTTTCGTTCGTATTGAGGAAGCCAGATAGCCTGCCACGCAGCAACCGCCAGCACAATGAACCGCAGGCCATCCATCACATTCATTCCTTGCCGCCATTCGTCTGTACCCACTACACGTTCCGACAGAAGTATCAACTTGATGATCTCCCGAAATGCCTCGGCCAACACTGTGACTTTGTAATCCCCGGCGAACATCCCGGTTTGCCTATTCAGATCGAGCTGGCACAGCTTACCTGTTACCCATGCGCTAAAAGGTACAGCTGGCAGCAATGAGCGGGTTTTTACTCGAGGTCCGGGTTGGACGAGGAAGTGTCCTTGTAGTGCAGTCAAGCTGAGACCGAGAGTTGTAACAAATAGCTGTCGAACTATCGTATTAGCCCGAAATTAACGGTTGATATTACTCAGTCGTACCATGATCGTCATCGGAAGAGTGATTGTGCCCTTTCCCCTTATCGCAGAATTTCGTTCTAGGACCGGAATCCATCTCCATATACCTCTGGAACCAAATTTGCCAAGGATGAGCGTGTAACGTGTAAGAAGAATCTCCGTTCCTACTGCCATGTGTAGATCCGTAAGACGTCTCAATTTCACATGAAGTAAGGGATCTGACGATTGTACACCCTCGTAGATGTGATAGGAAGTGAGGAATAAAATTCCATGGATGTTGACATGTTCCCTAGGTTTTCCCCAGTACCTGAACTTGAGTATCAGGACCACAACGTTCATGGAATAGCTGAAGTGGTAATAATAGTATCAGCCGCGTATGCAGACAATGAGCATTACATACCCTGCTAGATTCAACATGAACTTTCGGAGTGGGTGCGCGTTTTCACGGTGGTGGCCAGCCATAGCATCTGCAGGTATTATTTAGTCTTAACGCTTGAAATTGGCTAGGAACGTACTCATGAATACTGTCATTTGAGCTTCACGATCATTGATAGTCGGGTTCCTGTTTCGCTTCTCCATATGTGGGCCCATGCGTTCACCGAAAGAAATCTCTGACAAGGAGTTTGCTGTCAATGAGAGATGCCAAGTAAAGTTCATGACCCCTTGGTTTGCTAGGAAGCACCGTGAGTATGAAGAGATGGATTGTTAAATAGTTGCATACCTATCACGGATTCGCCGTTCTCTCTTCCACATGTCCCGCGAGTCATTGGTGCAGGAATACGCTCCTGAATCAACGTAAGCTTCACAGTGTAACGCAAAGAAATGGGTACGTGCGTCAGGGAATGCTACTCCAGCCAATGTGTCGAGATATGGTGTATACGCCCACTCAACGCCGTGTCCCATCTCTGAATTGGCCAATGGGTGAAGTTTCACGAGCGTTTCCCAGTGTCCGTTGATGTGATATTGCCGACGACAGGAAGTCCAGGAGGGCTTATTATTCAGATTCCGACCGCGTGGCTCCCTACACTGAAAGGAACCGTCAATATTAGTAACGCAAAAAACGGAACGGACGTACCAATTTACGTCTGAAGGATTTCAACAACTGATGCCCGCTATCGAGATGTTTATGGTTCAAAAGCGATGCGTGCTTTGACATGCGAATATGTGTCCTATATTGCGGTGATGAGGTAAAGGACTGAGTCTTTCGAGGATAGAATGCAACCGACCGAGTCATAATGTACGGAAGTATCATATGTGATGCCTCCGCTCGATAAACCGTCCCGTTCTCAAACATTCCAACGCAGTTCCCCTGTTCATCGCTCCGGTTTGGTGCATCGGTCATGTCAGGTTTTTCCCGTTCTTGAAACCTAATCAGATCCGTGCTGAGAGCAAACGTTTCGAGCACAAGATCTCTCATCGACCGAACGCGCGGTTGCGTGTAGTTGTAGCGCTGTCCATCTCTGAACGGGAAGGCCTGTGGTGGGCGCATTCTGGGTCTCTTCGTCCATGGAGGCCCGTACCACGTAGAAAAATCCGAGACACTATCAAGAATGGAAGGAGTACTTGGGATGAGGACGATGGATGCACGAATGTCGCTAGTTGAGACTTGTCCCCCCATGCTACTAGGGATTATCAACACGTGTACACAAAAATGTCAAGAGCACGCACAATATCTCAAGGGGGATTTTCAGAGGGATAGAAGTAAAGACGTCCACGCCATCCTTCAATTTTAATCCTCTAAAGACGGTATCCGAGAAGATAGGTTTTTCGAACAAGGCGTCTTCAACATACTGGCTGTCATACTCTTCCCACAGATCCCGGGTATCAATTACCCATTGCTCCCAGGCTGCATCCCATTCCTCTTGTGTCCGGCGCCGCCAAACAGTAACCTCAACATCGAATGGCTGCTTTCTGCTGAAAAGCGGACGTACTACATCACTTTGAGTACCGCTTTGCACAACCTCTGCCCAAGTCTGATTTTGATGGATCTCTGAAGGAAAGTTGGGCCTGAACTTGACGTTTAAGATGTCGGATATAAGGGAGAGGATGGCGTAGGGGTAGCGTACGAGTAGTAAGTAGATTGTATAGATGCGAAGGAGGGTGGTGAGGCTCAGATACGTCGAGAGACCGTCACGGTGTCGTTGACGCGAGACATTGCCGGGAACGTCTGTGTCCTCAGGCCCTGACGTCTCCATCAGAAGCCGGGCGAGTTCTGTTGATAGTGACGAGTCAGGTTGAATGGGACCGCGTATGATATATGTATGGAGAGATGATAACGATCATCCAGGCAACATCCAAGACATTGGTTGACATTGGGCGTCTTGAAGGCAAGTGCCTGACGCGGAGTTTTAGCTGTCGTAAACTGGAAAACAGGTCTGTGGAATCGAACTTACAATGATTTAAGAGGCTCCAAATGACGGGACTTGCATCGTAATTGAGAGATAGATAGAAAGTAGTAAGTATAATGGGACTTGCAGAAGATGATGGTGATGGTTTGCAGTCAAGCTTAGGGCGCTTACTACCGGCGTCTACTGACGTACTAGGTACATGTGATGCAAAGCGTGTAATCTCACCTTTTCAATTATATTAGAACCTGTGGACGACGATCAGCGGGGTCTACATGACAGACGAGAATTTGCTACGCTATCGCTGTAATTACGACGCACGCTCGGTAATGACATACTATCGACGGTGTCGATACTCTGATGTACCGAACACTAGCCTGTAGGCTTTGTGTCTTTAGGTGACTGTAACTCTTGGTCTTCTGTAGCGTCTAATACCGCTACTTTTTCCTGTCTGCGTTGGGGAAGCCACATAGCTTGCCACGCCGCAACCGCCAGCACGACCAGCCGCAGGCCATCCATCACACTTATCCCTTGCCGCCATTCGTCTGTACCCACTACACGTTCCGACAGAAGTACGAGATCGATGATCTCCCGCAACACCTCGGCCAACACTGTGACCTTGTAATCCCCAGCA